CGGCTCTGTGTTCTTCCTTGACACTGAGTTGGTGTCTGGGGGCCGCCGTGACAAACTAGCACAAAGCAGGCGGTTTAAGAAACAGAGGCCTGCTCCACCGTCCAGCAGGGAGGGCTGCAGGGGTGGGTGCTGCCGAGCCGGCTGCGTGGGGGTCCTGCGGGAGCCTGGGCCAGGGCAGGTGATGACACCCAGGATCCAGCTGTTGGTGCCAGATCCGGCTGGCCTCCAGGCGCCAACACCAGTGGCTGACCTGCGGCCACTCACTGACCCTGGTGACAGCTCTGGAGGAAAGTCCTCTGGCGTAGGGTAGAGGGTGGGTGGCCCAGGGCTGTCAACCTGACCCCATGTCCTCGTCCCGCCCCGACCAGAGCATGCTGCCAGGTGCCCTCTGGGCCTTGGCTTCAGCGGTGTCCCCACAGGATGTCCTCTTCTCGGCCCACACAGCCTGCAGGTCCTTCAGCCTCGGGGACAGTGTCCTCCCGTTGGCCTCACCCTGGCACCTCAGCAGGGCCACCTGCACTCAGTGGGAATGGAGCTGTCTGGGGTCCCCTTCTGCCCCTCAGCCTGCCCCTGCTGGCCGGGCTCCCTGAGATCCAGGCCACCACGCCGGGGAGCGCAGGGTGCTGTTGGCCCCGCATGCGCAGAGCCCCGGGGGTGCAGGGGGTGCCCACCCTTCTTCCCACAGCCTCTCTGAGCTGTGAGACGGTGTCAGTCACATCAGGAAACGTCGCGGGCACAGAGCTGGGTCGAGGGGCCTGAGAGGTGACCGGCTCCAGCACCTTCTTTCTGTCTGTCAGGTTGAGACCTGGGACACCCACCCTGGAGCTGGGGCCAGTCCTCAGCCTCCCTGAGGCCTCCCCGAGGAGGCAGAACAGGGACCTTGACCTTGTGGTTCCCTCCAGCCAGGGAAAGTGGCCACTCCAACGACCCTGACCCACTGAGCAGAGGAGGGCTGAGGACCCCTTTCCCTGCCTGCCCGGCCCCCGCTCCCCTGGGGCTCTTGAGAAGACACAGACGCTCACAGAGGAGGGCGGGGAGGGGTCTGAGACTCGGCTTTTCTTAAAGTCTCCCTGGA